GAGGGAGTGAGAGAGAGAGAGAGAGAGAGAGAGAGAGAGAGAGAGAGAGAGAGAGAGAGAGATAGAGAGAGAGAGAGCTGCAAGGACTCACTTTGCTGCTGCATGCAGCAGCAGGGGGACCCGAAAGTTGTTGCTGCTGACTCGCTGCAGCAGCTGCTGCAAGTTGTTTTGCTGCTTCACCTCTGCTTCTGCCTCTCGCCGGAGCAGCTGCTGCTGGTACTGCAGAAGCTGCTGCGCTCGATGCATGCGCAGCTGCTGTTGCTGCTGTATCCGAGAAGCAAAGAGGCAGCAGCCCTCAAAGCTGCTGCTGCTGCCGCCAGTTGCTGCTGCACCGTCTACTGCAGCGGGTCCGTCTGCTGCTGCTGCTACTGCTACTGCGGCTGCTGCTGCACCTGAAGCAGCAGCAGCAGCAGTTGCAGTAGCAGCAGCAGCAGGACCCGCTTTCCGGGAACTCCCGCTGCCGTGCCTGTTCAAACCGCCTTTCCGTCCGTGGGTTCTTTGCTGCTGCTGCTGCTGCTGCGCAGCAACAGCAGCAACAGAAGCGTCGCGTTGCTGCAGCAGGAGCTGCTGCTGTTCAGATGACGTAATGCAGCGTGGGGAATGTACGGTGCAGCCATCGGCATTTGTTGTTGTTGTTGTTGCTGCTGCTGCTGTTGTATAAGGGGCTGCTGCTGCTGCTGCTGCAGTTGCAGAAGCAGCAGCAGCAACCATTTGGTGGGCACTCCAAGAAAAGAATGGGAGCGATTCCCGAAGCAGCTGCTGCTGCATGCGCTGCTGCTGCTGCTGCTGCCTCCGTAGCCGCGCCTGCTGCTGGTGTACAGACAACTCCAGCAGCACACAGTCAGATTCCTCGCTGCCGTCATCGTCTGCTGCTGCTGCAGCAGAAGCCGCAGCAGCAGCTGCTGCTGCTGCTGCTGCTGTTGGATCGAAAGGATTCGGGGTGGAGTCGATTGGTAGTAATGACGGCGTGCTGCTGCTGCTGCTGCTGCTTCTGTCGCTGCTGCCGTTGCTGTTGCTGCTGCTGTTTGGCTCCAGCACAGCAGAAGAGACGCTCAGCAGCCTGGCTTGAGGAGAGGCAGGAGCAGCACGAGCCGCCGCAGCAGCAGGAGCTGCTGCAGGAGTGGCAGGCA